ACACACACACACACACACACACACACACACACACACACACACACGGGGGGTTAAACGCGTGCTCCCTATACCTCCTGGCTGTCCAGCACTATTGAGTGTGTGGTCTGATGTTACACCGCTTGTTTAGAAAGTCTGGCGAGACTTCAGCAGACAGGCAGGTGAAAGCGCTGGTGTGGCTAACCACCACCAGTGCAGCCAGGACTCCTGGATCAGAGAGGGGAGCCTGCCCAGATGCTCTGCACCAAAGACCAGCTGTGAGGTTTGTGGCCGACAACCCATCCATGGTTTTGACTCTCAGGAGCAGAGCCAGCACAGAGGAAAGAGGCGAGAGCAGAACAAAAGCTGCAGAGACGGCAGTTCTTTAGGGCCATATCCTTTCCAGGTGGCACATAGGAAAGACTTATACCCTAATTTGGTAAAAATGAGCATGACTCTGATGTTAATATTACCATTTATGCCTCCTCAGGTTATGTTAAGATTCAAGACTCCTTCCTGCTTGCAATGCATTTTCATTCGGGCTGTAAATGTAATGGGAACAATACCCATAGAGTGGATTTTATGACCAATCTCTAAAGCATAGTGGCTTTTCTGATTGTGTGGATGAAGTTGTTATGAGTGCCTGCATGTGCATATTCAGCAAATGAGCACACACATTTATTAGATGTAGCTAAAATCCACAGGGTGCACAATAAAACCCATTATTCAAAAAATCTACCCAAATAGCCAGAAGTAGGATACCAAATATTTGCATATGTTTTGCATTTGACGAGCTCTTCTTATAGGAACTGACGTGTATCTTTGAACAAGGTCATCACAATGCCGGAAAGTGATGTGCACCGATTGATGCCTCATTTGTTGGTAAGTACAGCATGCACACTCCCACTCAGCCACCACCACCCTCCTCTGTCTTTCAGTTTCTCTATATAAAGATGGAGAGGTATAAACGGCCTCCTAATCCAGTATGGTTTCACCCTCCATGGCCACACATGGGCCTGTGGTCTGCCGTCCACCCACAGCGTTTGGCCGTCTTTTTTATTTCGCCCCCACCACCCTCATGTGGCTTCTCCTCATCCCCAGCCTCACGAGTGAGTTTACCCCGTGTTCCACTAGAAAAGCCGGTGATAAGGTATCTGGGTCTCCATGGCGATGCTTGGCTAAGAGGTACTGTATATCCTGTGTACACAAATACACACACACACACATATTCACATTATACAGAGCTCTACTTTACAGCCTGAGCAGGGGCCGTCGGCTCAGGGGTGGTGGTGGGCTTGGGGCTGACACGTTTCTGCTAACAATCACATCACACACAGGGAACCACATTCCAACTTCCTGATCAACTCTCCCCCCCCCCCACCACCCCACCGCCACACCAGCCTGCTTCCCTGAGCTACCTCCATAATCGTCCCCCCACAAAAGCCTTGGTGGAACTTGTGCAGCTAAAGCGTCAGCTTCAGTGGTCAGAGTTTGGAGTAACATGGGATTTTTCATGGACATATTTACAGAAATATGAAGTGACTACGATTTTAATCTTAGGAAAGAGATTTTAAAGCAGTTTGATCCTGAGTGTTAAAAACTGCCCCAAGACAAGATCATATTTCGTTATACTGGAGAATTAAGTTAATTAAATTAATTCTATTGTAGCACATCTGGATCCAGTTCATCCTGACTTGATGGCAAGTCATGGAAGTGAAGCTCATTACCTGAGTAGGTGGGTTTAGCAGTGATGTCATGTACTCTGGTGCCCTCTAGTGATCTTTTTCAACGGTACACAACACAGTTACATTACAGGTGATGAGTCACAAGGCTATTTATTCTCAATATCTGTTTTTTGTAGTTTAATACAAAAAATGTTCCTTGAGGAGCCAAATAAAATACAATTGAATTAACACGCAATAAATAGTAACGCAATTATTTTTGACTCAAGCAGGAAAGATTTTGTTTTTGCAATTTATTTTTTTCTGAAAAAATATAACTGGATAATGATGATGTGATTTGACTGTGGTCTGTTCCAAAGATGCATATTCTTGTTCATGTCTTTCATGCAGAACATGAATCACAGGCCGGGGCGTCGCTGTAGAACAGTTCTTCATTAGTTATTACAAGTTTTACCATTGTCAAGAAAAAAGTATAAGAAATTCATATCCATGCAATTTCAATAACATTCGAATCATCCCTCAATATATAAATTAATGAATAACTATAAAACTATCACATACAAAGAACAGAGCTAAACAAAACAGGCAGTAAGATCCTGTAGGTATAAGTACATCCTCAGATGTGATAGTTTATATGCAGTGGATTCCTCCCCACACACCGTCCTTGCACGATATATAGAGGACGAAAACATCCTGAGCCTCCAGAGCACAAACATATGTATTCCAGCAGAGTCACTGGCATCCACTCCAGCACAGACACAGACACACGGCCACCTACCACGCAGAGGTAATGAGCCCGAGTGTGGTCTGCTCCAGCCACGGCCACATTCACAGACCCTGTGGGCCTGCGGGCCGTCACGTCTCACTTCACTGAGGTCAAAACACCTTCAACTCTGACATATTCAAATGCACAATTTATGATGCTGTCAAATCCAGAAATTATGAATGAGGTATTTCCTTTGCCTCATTTTGCACCTCTGGTATGTCCAGGACTTTGGACTTGAATCCTGGGAAGTTACATTTGCACTGACAAAAGGGATGAAACACACCGTAGATAAAAGCTGAGCCGTGCTAATCCCAGAATAAACTGGGAAATTTAGAAGTCGTGACAGTACATCTGTCTTTGGGCTTCCTCAATACATCCAGGGGGCGGAACAGGGTGGAGAACTGAGCCAAATCTGTCCCCTTATGAGACATCACTGTCTTGCACGATATGAAATACTGTATGACTTTAATATACGGAATATACATTTGTTAATAGAAAGGTATATTTCTGAAGTTAAACCTAATCCTCACAACAGTTCCTATGCAACATATAAATCTAAATGTTTCTGTGTTGGAATTAGTTATTGACTTCACAATTGAATTACAGCTTGTGTGCACAATTACGAACACATGGGTCTGAGTTAATCCCTGCACATGGAGGCAATCCTGAAAATGATTGAGGGAATAAACTTTAAAATGTAAAATGGAAGAAAATTAGTCAAGCACGGCAGCAAGACTGGGATCAAGAAACACAGGGAATAAATTGTATTCAACTGCAAATTGAATTACGTTTGAAGTTAAGAAAGAACACAGAGATAAAAACTGGACATCATTGCATGTAAGTATATATTCTGTTCACTATGAGGAGTTTAAAACACATAAGACTGTCGGAATAAATAAGAAGAAGTACACTGGAGTGTGGAGGGCAACAGACCAGAGGGTGGCAGTAATGAGACTACAAGGATGTCAGCAGCTGTAAAACCTCAAAGAAGAAAGAGATGGACTCAATTCAAGTGCACAGTTTAGAAATCCAACTCCTTCTCAACTAAGGGAGACGCTCTCGTGACATCTAGCGGACATTACGTGTCCGATGTGTTATACCTGGTTCTGTTGTCAGTGATGTCACTGAGGCACTGTTGATAAAACTTCCAACACATTCTGGATTCTTCTTCCTCCCTCTTGATTTAATCAGTGTTTCTAACCTTTGGTCTCTGCTGCGCATCATCTTCCGAGTTACACCCGAGGACTGTCAAACCACACTCAGTCTCTCTGACTTTCTATTATACTGGACTTCCTGGAATGCACCAACTGTGGGACAGGTAAGGGGGGTGGGGGCAAAATGTTTTTTAAGAAAACTCAAGTTTGTCAAGTCTTTTTTTTTGGTTAAATTAATATGTTTTAAATGTCTAATGAGATTATCTACTGTTAAATTAAGGTGTTTATGTGTTTATGAATAGTTAAACAACTTTTAATACTTCATTGATGCACAAAGTGGTGTTTCCTGTTGTAGGAGGAGCTATGGATTTTTGGCCCCCGTCAGAGAGGACATTACAGGTGCAGAGACAGAGCGGCCATTTTGACTTTTTGTCTGTTGGGGAAGATTTGTTTGCTCAAACTCATTTCCCCAGATTTACAGTTTAATAGCCCACAGCTGAGAAGACCTTTCACCAACCAGACACCTGCTGCAGGTAATTTATCTGAAAATAACATATAGGTTGAACACAGATAACACAATATATATAAAACCACAGCTGTTGTGTTTTAATGTTGGTTATGGGCAAACAAGACTTTCTGGAGTTTTCCCCCTCCAACAGGTTTGTTGAAACCTAATGAAGTTCCAGATAATTCAAGTGTTCACTATAGAGGCACCTGCTGGTCAGTAATAACTTCACAAGTTAATTGTGGGAGGGCTGTAGTGTGAGAAAATGTTTCTGTAAAAAAACACTAAATTAAATCAACAACAGCAAGAAAACAATATATCCTGTCTGTTCTGTCAGTGTTAAAGTACCAGTTCTTAAATGAGTTCACAAGAAACTATGTTATTTTGTCCTTTTGGTTTTGATGTAACTTTCAAGCTTTGCTTTACTGCTCTCCAGCCATTTTGAATTTCTAGTAGTGTCGTAGGTGCCTGTATCATTTGTGATTTATTTGAAAGATGCAAAGGAGCCATGTTTGTGGAACCTTTTGGCTCCATTTTTTCAAATAATGCTGATAATGTGATGTCCTGTCGCTCTTGAATTGCATTGATGGGACACTTGTGTTGAATTTGGCTCATTAAATATGTCTGACCACCAGTTTCAAATGGCTGGTGTGCATCTTTTGAGCAGATCAATTGTTTCTTATGTTGCTTCACATCAGAAAGTTTATAATGTCACCAGTACGTGAAGTGTTCTTTTTAAAATATCTTGATGAGATGTGTAAGGTTTGTTGTTGTCCTTTTTATGCAATGTGTGTTTGGTGGTTACAATTCATATTTGATGATTTAAATGCAACCTTAAATTCTCAGTGCTGTGTGTGTGTGTGTGTGTGATGGCAAATGTAATGTAAGCACAATGGCCACTGAGTCAAAGTCCTCATTGAAAATTTGTAGAATGAACAGTTTTTTTTAATCCTAAGAAAAGGGAAATGAAAAGTACATGGCCTATAGAGAAATGTCTCAGAGTGCTTCAGACAGGTTTATGGTATCATTCCAGAAATGCACAGAACAAGCATTTTTTAAATTGATGTGACAACTTGAACCATCAAACCTGGATTTCTTGAGACAGCAGGAAGTGGCACTAGACCGGTGACTTAACTCCTGTGACGCCTGCACTCACCAAGAAATGAAAGCTCTCATTTTACTGACGCTGGTTTATAGTTGCCATATCATGCTAGAATGAGCATGAAATGTGCAGCAGTTTTTGAGGTGGTTTGTAACGGCAGCAATGGTGAAGCGGTTGTAAATAAGAGGCCAGATGATGAAAGCAGTCAGCACAAAGGTTAGTGTGCACCTCCTCAATGGAGGAGTTTTTAAATTCTCCATAGAGCTGGTGAGACACTTCCAGTTCTCTATTGGGCTGTAAAACTGGCAGATCTTTGCTAGCTCTGCTGTTGGAGCAAAAAGGGCAGCTGCCAAAAGTAAAGTTTGTTTACAGGAGCATTCTAGCTTAGACAGTTGGACGTAGCTGTGGGCCCCAACCCCCACAGTCAAGGGAGCCGTGCTTTAGAGTGATGAGTTGAGAGGAAATCTGGGGTTCAAGATTCAATATTCCAAATTCCATCCTGGAATGTTTCCTCTTGTTATTTGCCTGAAGCATTTAAGTAGCTGCTTCTAGTAGCTCCATGCATTTTTGTTTATCCAACTGATTCTACCTGTGCTCTGACTATTTTATAGATTTTAAAATTTTATGATTTTATATTTGATTTGTAATCTGATGCCAGTTTCATTCCACTGTGTGTTTTATCAGAATTAAGTAAACATATTCAAAAGAGTGGCTTTGAGCTTGAGAACACTCTATGCCCACCTCCACCTGTGACAGTACTAGCTATCAATTACTCACTATATGCACACTCAAATTCACTTTATCATCTGTTTGGGTCTTAAAGGGAGTAGTTTACAAAATGAACTTTGTGTATTGAGTAAGAATTGAAACTAATAATTGAGCCCATCAACTCCTTACCACCATCTTTATTTGGTGAAGTTATAAATCATGTAAGAAGCCGTCTGCTGGTTATTCAAGAAACACAATTTACAGGAACTTCAGCATTGTTCTCACTTTCCAGAACCAGAGTCTATGTCCATTTTTTTCATACACTATAGTTTGGTACAGTATAATATTGTGCTCTGTCTAATGAGCCACTCTGCCTGATCTGCCTGAGATATATATATATATATATATATATATATATATACATATATGATACTTCACTTAATGTCTGATTTAGCTGCTTGAAGAGCTTTTTCCTTATGTCTTTAACAGAATAACTGTAGTGTGACCAAAGCAGCTGTCATCAACACAAAGTGGTGTGTGTGTTGTTGCGTTACTCATAGTGTGTGTGTGTGTGTGTGTGTGTGTGTATGTATAATAATTTGTGCAATTCCTCTGTATACTTTGAACAGAGGCACGTGAATATATGAGTTTGAATCCACCAGCATGTCCACTGGTGCGTGCGTCTCTGTGTTTGCGGTGAGCCTTGCTTCTAATCTGCCAGCCAGGGGTTGTGTATGACGTGCCGCTGATGGTGGAGACTATTAGGCCTGTGAGGGGAGAGCTGCTGTCTTCTCCTATTCCCCACAGCTCGTTTAAACCTCCAGCTGATGGTTGAGATTAAACGTCTTCTCTTAGAAGGGGAGATCCTGTGGCTAGGCCTGGGCTGCAATTTAAGAAACATGAATGACTGAAAAGCATGTAAAGAACCCATTTAGCACAAGGCAACAGAGCATCAGTGGGTCCGCGCGTTCAAACAATGTAATATGCCTCACACGACATGCTACACATGTGGCCCGGTCCGCTTTTACATCTGGCAATCTGCTGTTGAGGGTTTTCAAAGGCCAGGAAGACGTACTGAAAAAGTTGTGTTTAAATCAGTGAGAATTTTATCATCTTTATATTATTTCTAAATTAGTTTTGTAATAATTCCTTTGTAATTTCTAATATTGACAGGGAAACATTTTAAAGAATAAACCATCTTTCAATCAACAAGACATGTCACATTGCTACATATGTATCGTCTTTTAAATATTTCTAAATCATGTTTGTTAATTATTGTCATGTTGTTGTGTTGAGACTCAACACAACAACATGTTGTATTTGTTTTATTGTGGAGTTTAATGGAAAGATTCTGGAGAGTTTCTCCTAAAGACGCATGGTTGTTTGGTAGTTTGAGTTGTTTTAATGTTCATTTTGTCAGTGTGCCACTGCAGACACTGTAAAAATAAAATAAAAATTATATTCGTTTTTAGCATCAAACTGATATAAGTGAAATTAGAAAGCTCTCATTAAGACATAATAATAACATAAAAGTTCCTGAAAAACAAATCATGTCAACCTCAACGAAGCTACAGGTTTTACTTTGGTTAAGTCAGTTGCTAAATACAAGTTTCTATTTATTTATATTAGTGAGGAACTTTATTGTCCACGTTGCAGATCATTCTTTGACTTCACCACACAGAGTTGAAAACAATACAGCAAAAATAAATGTTATAAGTTTGAGGCTTTTCTTTGAAGGATTTCTGGAGTAGAATCTATATTTTTGCCACTGTACATGATCAAACAGGCCTTGGACTGAAGGATTACTATTCAAAGAAAAGCAGCATGAATGCGTTTAAGAGCTTTACAAAACACACAAAGTGCCTTTATGAAGAAATAACCTAAATCCTTGGACAGACTATCCACAAATCATTTTTCTTGTAATTCCAATTTTTAGTAGAAGTGACGACATGTGGCACAGCTGAAAAAAGATTTTCCCACTACATTTTGTAATCTCACGCTGACAACTGATTCGACAACAGATTACTGTGCTATCATGTCAGTGGCAAGCTGTAACACACCTCGACAGCTGCGGGGCAGCTCATTATGACTGAGGGGAATTAGGGCTGACAGCAGCAGAAATGGAGATCATTTCGCTGACTGACAGGTCGGCGTGTTCGTGAGCTGCAGATGCCTCAGAACAAAGTAACTTTACCCTCAGAAGTGATATTTAAAGCTCCACCTTTTCACAACAACACCAGTCCAACGTGCTCCTCCCGGGCTTGTTCCTTTCTAAAAACCTACAATCGCTCAGACAGAATTCAGCCTTCGACTCCACAGCTTCTGCAGACTTTCATCATCACCTTCTGTTTGATGTAGTTTTAGTCCTGGCACTCTGGCCCCTCCTTTTTTTCCCTTTAGGCAAGATCTTGCATAGCCACAAACTGAAAACCTCGACCATCACATGTGGCTCAGTTGTCATTCTACTCTGTTGTGTAGCATATTCTTATTTTGCATATTTGAAAAGGCAATATCGAAATTTATTTACAAATGAAACGAGTGGAGTCTTCTCCTGCTCTCACAAAGTGGATCTGTAAATGATCATTATACAGATTAAACAAAGTCATTAAATGAAAATCACAGTGAAGAGACAATGACAACAATTTGAACAGTGACAAAATTATATTCACAATAATAATGTGAAATAACCTGTGAGTATATTAAGACAATTTTTATGTGACCTATACTTCATTTTATGTCATAAATTGATTTGTATATTTGGATTTGCAATTAAAAAAAACCTTTGCTGCCAAATGTATTGTCATATCTTGAGACTGTCATGTTGGTATTCAGTATTTATTTAGAGTGTCATTAATATTGACTGTTAAAACTTCATATTTATCATTTTCACACTGGATCACTACCTGTCAGTAATGAACTTAAAGTCTTCCACTGCCAGAGGATCCTGACTCTTCAAAGTGGAAACAAAACAAGAAAATACAAGTCGGTCATCAGCTCTTTAGTCCAGCAGTTAAACTTTGTGGTCATGTTTTTTTTCCTGTAGTGTTGTTCTGTGGACACTAGAGTGCGCTGCCACACCATAAAATAACAAGCTGCTGTGGTCATGAAAAATATTCACAGAACCTTGAAGCAGATTGAAATATAAAACGCTCTGATGGCTCCATGTCAATGAAAACTATTATGTTGAATAACATGACTGATCTTGACTCTGTCGTCCA